CTTCTATATTTTCTCTGAGCAGCTCATATCCTCTTCTTTTTTCTCTTTTTGAAAGGAATATGAGGTTTCTCCTCAAATAATTAACCTTAAAAATGGGAGAGTTGTTCTGGATATATTGAGTAGTAGAAAGAATTGGGGATGGGGGCAGATACTATAAATTAAGGAGAGTTCTTTTGGGGGGGAAGTCATGTTATTGTAGTTCTCCTAGTATTATATAATTAGATATAATGTGGGCTGTGCCTGTATTTTAGCAAATCCTGCTAATCCGGTTATGCAAATCCATACCCCTATTTGTCCCATTTTTTTGAGAAGGCATTTCATTTTTGAGGATTATTCTGGGATGGGGATGGAGGGTCTCATGGAAGTGGCCACCATGAATTACAATCTAATTTTTAAGTGGAAAAGGGCTCAGTGTGGTTTTGAATTTTTCCTTTACCAATAGCTGACTTCTATAAAGTTTTGAACTCATCTGTATCTAGGCAATTTTCTTCTCAAATGAGTTTCAGTATTAGGAGTGAGGCTGGCTAGAGAGAAATAATTAGGGTGGAAGGGTCTAGAGACTGATAAATGGAGCAACCTGTATGTCACTGAACACCTAAAAGGTGACTGTAGCCCTTGCTTTAAATAAAACTTGACTGAGTCTGTAGATGACCTGTTTAATTTTGCCCCAAAGCTATAGATCATTATTAAACCACTTATTTGTTTAAGAATATTTAAATCAACAAACCCAGTATTCCAGTAAGGAGGTTAAAAGAGACCATGGGAGCCATTTTAGGTCAGGATAGAATTATAAACAAGACAAAAATAATGTTGGAGATTTTAATTCAGCGGCAGTCCTTATTAGAGGATGTGCTCCCGGGCATGTGCAGAATACTAAAATAATACTGAGTAATTAAGTAGCAGCAGGTCCCACTTAAAAAGAATAAATAAAAGTTCATAATATTGTTGTCTTGGATGCAGAGTTTGGCCTTTAGCCCAGCTATCAATGAATGGTAGCAGACATTTGGTAGGATTTGAAGCAATTTATTAAGAAATATGTGGGATAGGAAAGCTTTATTTCTATTTAAACTACATCTTGAATAGGGAAGCAAGAGAGAAAGAGAGAGAGAACTAGGAAGTTCCCTTTTTTCCCCTGAGTACAGAGGCATATTTAGCTAACAACAGGCAGGTGAGAAACAAAGACAGGGACAGCATGTGAATATCTCGTCCCAATCTACCTGGAGAAGGCTGATAGGTAGAAAGAGAGGATGCCATGTCCAATGAATAATATATCCATCCCATGTACTACTTTTCCATGTTCCCAAGTGGAATTTTGGAAATCCCTCTCGCAAGATCCAAACAAAAGGAAGCTCCAGACTATCAATATTATTGAATATTTAATTCCTACATTCCAACGTGCTACATATAATACAAAATTTATTCCAGTAACTGCCTTCTGTAATTAGGGAAAGCATTAAATAGCATCCTATTTATTTTGGCTCTCTTTAGTGTTTTATGCACCACCGTAAAATAATTGTCACACTTGGTACATTAGGAAATAAATTCAATATCCAAAACATCGTCAACAGAATGAGGTGCCAAACCTAAAAGATTCTGAATAATTCATTCAAAATCAGTATTAAACCGTAGCAAAAGGGCTACGTTAGCATCTGCCAGTCTGAAATCCATGTTCTTCCATTAGTCTGAAAGAGAGGCTAGCCAAGAGGCAACACCAGTTTAAAAGCTGTAGCGGTTTTGCAGGTGCAGTCAAATACAGATTTGTAGAAAGAACCAGATGTTCTAAAAGTTGTTTAATGTTGTACAATTCTTATTCAAACTGTGTCCATAGACAAAAAAAATATTCATAGCAAAAGAAACTTTGAATTAGAAAGATACTCATTCAGATTATCCAAAAGGCAGAACTAGAGGTCTGATCAAGCTTTTAAGCCTCTCATACATTCACACATGCACATGCTTTACTTGAGGTCTCAACACTTGGTTACCATCACCTAGAAGAATCTAAATGCTGAATTGATACCAGTGAAAAATGCTGATTTAATTCAGCATGTTTGTTGCACCGTATCTCACCACAATGATCTAGGTTATGTCTTAACTAAACTCACTGATTTTTATCAATCTCAGAATCAAAGCAGAGATGATTGGGGCTTTCAGATTTGGGCTGGAGAAATCCAGACATTTGTGGTAAAGGGTTATAGCAAAGCAACGTTGGTCAGTAAAGGGTTATAGTATCTAGCGATCATCCAGATTTTTGCAGCCCAGATCTTTTGCCCTAAGTATATTATGTTTAAGCAAATATCCAGGCAAGGTGCATAGAAGGAAGAATATTAATTCTGCTGCTACCATAATCCCTACTGGGACTACCATCTTCCTGCAGTAGTATCTGAAGTAGCAAAAAAGCTCTCTGATACTAATGAGATTTTGCTCCTGATGCAACTTGTACTCTTTACATGGGGGGGGGACCTCTCTGCTCCTGCATTTTCAAGAAAACTTTTATACAATTACCAGGTGCACTGATAACGTCATATTGGGAATGATATATACAGTAGTCATATATGAGGCTACTCATGGCCATTAAGTTGGCAAAGATTATTTAATAATCTCTTTTCTATAATAAATGTTGTTAACTGGAAAAAGTACTACTGTACCAGGTTCCTAATTTGTTGCCTCCATAGACAAACATGGCTCTCCCCCTATATTCTCTGTAACAGTGGAATCTAATTCTTAAATGGAAACTGTCTTTTTATAGGGCAACCACTGAGTGAAGGAGGGCATGTATGACTCTTTCTGTCTCAACAAAATAGCTACCTGGTCTTACCACTAGCTTTCAGAGTAACCATTTGAGAAAAGTCATTGTACTCTAGGTGTGTTGGGCTTCAATTCCATCATTCCATAGCCAGTGGCTGTGCAGGATAATAATGATGAGTACTGAAGTCCATAAATCTGGGGACAGCATGTCGCAGAGTCTGTTTCAAAGCATATTTTTAATTTAATATGTTGGTTGTACTGGAAAAAGCATATTATGTGATGTTAGGGGTTTCATACTTCAAATTAGTTTAGCAGCTAGTGATAAAAAGAAATAACATAACTAGAAGACTGATGTTGAAGTAAGTATTCTTGTGATTTATGGCTATCAAAATTAAAATCTGTAGCTCCCACCAACTAATTATTTTGGTGCAGGGTTATCCTGTTCATTGGTGACTGGCTCCATCTTAATTACATTACTGGAATTAGTCAACCATCTTACAAAAATAAACATAAGAATTTTAAACCTTAAGAGGGAGGCTCATTTGTAATCAAATTATGTATCTGCCTAAACTCAGGGTGGATTTGCATATACATCATGATGTGTCATTCACATGGGCTCCAATCTGCCAAAGTTATTTCCATTTTAAGATGAAATAGAAGCAATATGCAGGATTCATATCTCAAATCCATTTTAAGTATATCAGAGAACCTTTTAAATAACATTAGCAGGCAAATATCGGGTTCTGTGCCAGCTACTTCCACTTGTTGACATCCAAATGTCATAGCAGATTATGAGAACTGAAATCTAGTCAAACTGGAGAACAATGGGGAAACAGGTTGGGAAGGTTAAAGTAAATATTACATATTTTTCTTTCTTAATATATCACCTTATATTTTTCTTTAAGGTGCTTGACTTATTTTTGTCATTCTTATCTTTGTCTTCATCAGGCAGGATAAGTTGCTGTCTTCGTTCTTTTCTATCAGTTAAGCACATTTGTAAAGTTTAATGATTAAAGGCCTGCTCACTTTTGCACACTCCCAAATGAAATGCAACACCTGTATGGCTTCCCTTATAGAGCAAACAAGGACTTGTCATGCATATCCTTCTTCAGCACCACGGTCTTGATTCCTATAGCTCTTATTTTTCTTTTAAGTGAGGGAGATCTGTATTTCAGCATGTCACATTATGTCTCAATTGAAATAAAATAAATCTTTCTTCAGTCATTCTTCATGTCCGTGCACATGCGTACACACAAATACAAGCTTCTTATCCTATATTTCTCCTGTGGCCAGTTCTGCAGCCTTTGGGGCTTGGAGGAGCCCACAATAATCTTCCAGAAAGCCCACATGAGTACAGTCCCAACATACAACAGAGGGGACAGGGCCCATGGACTTGTCATCATTCCCCCTCTCTCCACAACTATAAGAAAAAAGACCCTGAGATTACTTTATATGGCACACTTCAAAAGCATCAGCATCTTCTGTCTCACCTCTATATCTAAATTCTCTGCCTCCAACATTTATGAAGCTGAGGAGCTAAAGAAGTATGTGAAGACTGGACTGTGAAATCATGTTAGTAGTCTGGATTTCAAAAATGCAGAAGGAAAACTAACTGGTTTCATCATGTCAATTGAATCACTGCATGATATATCTCTAGTAGATGCTCTGTTATCAGATTCATTCCTCCACTCTGGTTATGAAGACTCAGGAGGAGAAGAAGCCACTGCAGGATTTTCCAGTCCAGAGGCTGTGTTTTAGCAGATGCCTGGAACTCAGAGGGCACTCCTTCAATGTAATCATCACTGGCCTCACACCGTAGGGTCCCTGGAAAGCCTCAGAAGGACTTTGTATGTTGCTAAGACAACATCCCTGAGACAACATTTGAGACATCTCTTTGTAGCCCACAACACTCCTCTGCTGCAGTTCCTACTGAAACATGGCACAAGAGAAGGTGGGCCCCCATACCTGAGAACTGTAAGGCAGACATCAAGCCCACCTTCACCGTTTGTATACCACTGAGAAGTAGAACCATAAAGGCATCTTAAACATTTGAGTTGGTTTGCCCTGAAAAATCTTAGATGTGCCCCTGAGAAACCAAACATGCAAATACATTCCCACATGCTCCATTTTAATTTTGCATTCCATGCTCTTCCTTTACAGATTAGGTTTTCATGCTGATTCATTATATGTTTTACAGTTTTAGTGCAAGAACGGAGTAAGCTAAGATTTTCCACAACCCAAAAATCAAATCTCACCTGTGTCTGGGAAGGCTTGAAAGCAGAGTCAAAGCTATGTTGCAGAGAGTCCAGAAAGGGCTGGATTTTATAGAGGCCATGTGTAGTCTGACTCGAACGAAAGGCCACAATATGGAAGTATTTAAGAATCTTCTCAAATCTCGTCTGAGTCATGATCAATGCGATGCTCTTGTTGCTATAGAAACCACTACTCCAGATGCTGAGGACCGACTCGCAATGGTGAGTGCTTGTAGATATCATGTATGCAAGGAAAGCCTTGATTTCTGTCAGGGTGACATCCATCCAAGCCTCATCGCTCCCAAACCGCTCCTGGTACTTCGTGGCATACATGTTTGTTTGAATCACCATGTTCTTTAGCACATTGTCAGGGACAAAGAGTTGGAAGAAGTCCATGGCACTGGCAGTGGGTGGCATTTTGCGAGTAGGGCCTAAAAGGAAAAAGAAGTAGAAATGAAGCTCGTTTTTCTAAACATTAAGAATATTAGCAATGAAGCTGAACACTGAAAAAGTATAATTAGGCTACTGAGTCCATCTCACTCAATGAAGCACTGTTTTCTACAGTTTGTTTCTTAATTGGTACCCAGAGTTACATTATACCCATTGCTAACAGGATAAGGCAACCCATATCTGCTGTCAAGATTCAAAACATCTGCTTAATTAATAGTGCATTTCTATTCCTGTCTACTCAGAAGAAAATGCTACTGAGATCCAGAACTATTTTAGTTAGAAGGGTACACGTATTCATTTTTTGGTCACATTTTTAGTCCTTTTAAGAGAAGGTCTCCCCTCCCTCCCATTAGGTCAATGTTGAACTGATTCCATTAAAAATGAATTTAGCTGTGATATAACAGGTATTTGTATGGAGTATAAATAAGCATGTTTAAAAATGTAAGAGAACGTCTTTGTTAAATCGGAAATGGCTTATTTCACATGTGTAAGATAATATTTCACAAAATAATCTACCACTTCTGTAAACTACCAATATGCTTAACTTTTTGATTAAAAGTAACCAGAATCTCTTACCCAAAGGTATCTTTTTAAACTGCCTCAAAGAAGAAAAGAAATCAAGGTGACAGTATAGAATTTTCCTAACTGAAGAGTGAGGGAGTTTCTGGTGAAAGGACTTCCCTGTTCTTTGACTTTCCTCTGTATTTACACTCTGAAATACTGTTTGCTTGTTGAAAATCCCAAATGAGAAAAGTGCCCTTGAGTCTCACTCCCAAACAATGAATTATCTGAACTTCAGTTTATAACTTCAGCATTACTATCTAATACCACATCTCTTCATTATGCAGTTTCTAACAAGGTTCACCCTGAAATATGAGTTGAGTTTCATACTTTTATTCCCCAATATGGTTGCCTTATAAAAAAAAGGTACGTTTGCATTATTAGAATGATATACATGAAATGTTATTAACTGAACTCTTTTCATAGACTTGCTTTATTCTTTGAGAGAAAGGACTGTAAGAGATAAGTAGATAAAGATCTAATCAGTTTTGCACAGATTAGGAAGTCCTGAAGTAAGAAAAGATTAAAAAGGTGAAAAAAGCAGAGACAGGAGGTCAGCTTAATGGAATCAAACTTAATATGGGAGTGAAAATGTTCACTCATTCATCCTTTCTCTTAATAATTCTACATTTTCCTAGGCAACTATAATCTGGTCATAAGGCAGTTTATTAAATAGGCTTATTTAGGCATCAATGGTTTTTACATATTTCACTTTAAACTAAGTGAAATAATGCATTAAGTCTGAGTTCCAAAAACTTCTGGAATCATTACTTTTTTTTCCTTCCTAATACCAGTGGCACTGTATATGGCTTACTTACCAGTTGATTCTATGGTTGTTCACAGCAAAATAGTAATCAAAACAGCCTCTTTGGATTTTTGAAATTTCAACACTCATTCCCAAGTACTGTATCTTTTCAGCTAGATTAAACATGTTAAGACTACAGAATATTCTAGGACTAAATAGACTACTTTTGGAGTAGAAACTTTGGCCACTCCCACATTATTTTTCTTAGGTCCGTGAGAAGCTTTGAAGAAACTTCAAATGAAGCACTTCTTTAAGCTGTCTCATGAAGCAACTTAGTCCTTTTTCTTTCAAGAAAGAAACAAAGCACCCATGTTCCTCTCCCTTTCTTCATTTCAGAACTCCTCTCAACTTCTTCTCACAAAGCTCATACTGAGCAGCTATGGCACATACTATGGGCAATCCCACAGTGCACAGCAAAACTATCCAGCCTGGAGACACCCACTGGAGTGCACCAACAGTTGTTCCAGTTACTCAGCTCCAATCACACTGTAGGCAATTCTGCAGCCTTCCACCCTGGAAACAGTTTGGCCAACAATGAGAGGTGTCTTCTCCAGCAGCACTGCCTGAAGCGATTTGAGGCCACACAAACAGATTTATTGAGATAAACCAGGTGGCCTTGTTGCTTCAGTGAAGGTAATATTGTCTCCCCCATAGCTGAAATCATATTGCAGAAGCAAATTTACATCACTTGGCACAGGCCAACTCTTTCCACTCCCCACTTTCTCAAAAGCAGTTTGAAAATGACCCATGAGCATCCTCACTTCTGTCAATTCAGAAATGAGGAGCAAAATTGTTGGCCTTCCAAACTCCCACTGATCCTGTGCGAACAAACATCCCTTCACTCACATTTTGGGGAGGGAGGGAGGCTTTGTGCACTGGGTTGCCTTTGTTGAGTTGGGAGAAATTCACACCTGCTTGCTGCTCCTGGATTGTGAGGGGAGATGCAAAGCTCTCTAGTCAGCATTCTTCCTACAGGACCTCTAGGATGGTGGAAGTTCAGGAGCCAGGAAGAAGGATGAGGCAAGGGTACCCTCAAATGGGGAAGCAATCTGACCCCATTTGCAGAGCTCTACAGAGCTCAAGCATTCCCAGCTAAAAAGCAGCTTCAGAGTAGTTATTCTTGTACTATAGCTGAGCCAGAAGTAAATTCGTTCCAACACCAACATTTTTTCCACAAGGTTGCTTTGCATATAGAGGGAAAAACCTCACTCATGAAAAATAATGAAGTTGATTACTCTATATGATTAGATTCGTATAACTCACAATTTAGCTCACTTACTATGAGATAAATTCAATTCCTTTCCTTCAGAATGGGGTGGAGAATTGGCCCTCCAGATGTTGCTGAACTACAGAATTTAGCATTTGTTATCACTGAACATAATGGATGGGGTTACTAGGATCTGTAGTTCCACAAGTTCTGTATAAAAAGTAGCTAATATTTATTAAAACTTTAAAAAACAGCTTGGTAGTGGGAAGCATAAAACCATTTCCCCCATTTTTTTTAAAATGTATTTTTAATAGCTCAACAAAATGCCATTCTTTTCTGAGAAATGATTATGTTGGTGGTTCTTATTTGTATCAAAGATATGTTTCCTGCATACAATCATTTTCAATTTATTTGCAAAAGATGTTTTTCTTGTGCAACAAAATAGGGGTATGAATGATCCATCCAACCATGGGCACAACATAATCCATGGGACAAAATCAACCTAAAGCTCAAGGGAGGCCTCATTTTCCCTGCCCCAAAGCTCATGGAAAGGCAACATGGTGCCTTGGAGGAAAAATATACCTCCAAGATTTTGTCTTTGGTGTCCACCAGGCTGCTTGCCCCACCTGACTTTTTTTTTTAATTATCTTAGTATTCTCCTCCTCCTCCTCCTCCTCCCCCATCCTCATATATCATTTTTTACAACGCAGTTAAATAGGAAGGTGGTATATGGCAAAGCAAAACACCAGCTTCTCTCCTCATATTTATTTCCTGCAATGCCTTTGGATCCCAGAAAGGTCCCACATTTCTGCATTCAGGGTAGGGGATAGGAAGCAAGTTATCCCCTCGTAAATTGATGTTCTGTAACTAACCAAGATCATTGTTGCAACCATTTTATGAGTAGGCAAGTGTTCCATGGCAGCAATGTTTTGAAGGTACCCACTAGATGCTCTCAGAATTCGAAATGTGACTTCAACCCCAGAAGGTTGCCTACTTCAACCTTAGCTTTATGCACACTGGGCATCTGTTAGGAAGAAGCAATGAGGACCATTCTTCCTAAATGATGCCTGGTGACCAATACAGAATAGAGTGGAGTTATAACAATGCTTTGATTGATGCAGCACAAAATGACATTTGCCTTCTTAACAGCACTGTCAGACTGCTGACTCATCTTCAGCTTATGATCAACTCTTACCCTAAAATCCTTTTCACGTGTATTAGACAGGTATTAGATCTGGATGAAGCTTTGAAGGGGGGGGGGCTTTGGTCTGAAGTTCCAAGCCAGAGTGTTGTAGCATCTTTCATCTTCTCTGTTTTGACATAGCACTGAAAAGCGTGCCAGTAACAGTGGCGCCTTCTCATTCACCCTCCCCCACCCTCCTCTCTGCCCATTCGAAAGGCCACAGCTGATGTTGGATCATGATCACTTGTGGAAAAATAAGAGGGCAGCTCTTGCATGTTTGCACAAAAATTCACAGAGCCTAAACTAGAAATAGTCAAATCAGCCTTTTCCCAGCTCAATATCAACTTTGCATCTGTTTTATTTGTAAGGCCGATTCAGTCCAATTCTCCATTAAACTGCATCTTTAAAAAAAAAAAAAATTATACTCCTATTTAAATGCATATATTTAAATGAATCTTTGTGAGAAATAAACTACTTATTTCCAAAATTATTTTTCTCTCTCACAAAATCCATGTCCAAAGCTCTTCTATTAAAGATTACTTTCAAAGCACACATTATTTTTATTTTATTATTTCAATTTTGAGGCCACCCAACTCCAAGCTGACTCGGGGCAACTTATACATAAAAAAATTAAAAGAAAACAAAATATATCAAGAAAAAAGAAGACAGCTGACTGGAAGTCAGAATCAAAAAAAAAAAAAAATCAAAGGGACTCAATCACCTAGGTCTGGGAGAACAATCAGGTCTTTAGCGGTTTGTGAAAAGTCAAAAGTGTGGGAGCCGTACAAACTGGAGGGGGGGGGATATCATTCCATAGGGGAGGAGTCATCACCAAGAAGGTACACTTTCAAGGTCGTGCAAGATGACACTGCTTAATTGATGAGTCCTGGAGTGTGAACACTGACCCCACCAGATGGGCAGGAACAAATGGAGATAGGTAATACCCCAACTAACCAGGCCCAAGCTATGCAGGGCTTTATAGGTGATAACCAGCACATTGAATTGCACCCAGAAGCCAGTTGGCAACCTGCACAGCTCACAAAGCAGTGGGGACACCTGGGCATACTGTGACACTTCCATCACTGCCTGCATCATTGCATTCTGGACCAGTTGTATCTTCTGAGTGGTCTTCAAGGGCAGCCCCATGTACAGAACATTACCATAGTCCAATTGAGAGGTAACTGGGGCATGAGCGACTGTTTAAAGGGCCTTCCGGTCCAGGAAC